TTGTCTACGTCAAAATTGTTGCTGTGATCCGAAGGTTTGGTTCTGGACTCGGCGTACGTCCCCAAGAGCTTCACGCCAGCTTGGTGGAGCAAGATCCCCTCGTTGCCATGACCACGCCCCATCCATGTAGTCATCAGCGTCGTATAGTCGCAACTTCAAGATCTTTGATGGGCGCCGAAGCTGCCTGAGAATCGCAGACCTTATCACCTGCTTTGCTGCAGTGGGCTGCGCCAGGGCTCCATTGCGTTGGATCAGTTGGTGTTCGCAGGGGAGGCAGGACGGGATGAAGGGGCGGGCTGTGGCCTAGTGTGCATCTTCTGCGCGATCCACAAATGTTTTCAGACAAGCGCTTGCTTGGCTTGCGCTGGCGAGGTGCATCTTTTGGTCATGAACCGTGCGACGGCTTCTCGTCCTTGGCCCTGGCCGCTCCATCTGACCCGTCCGTCTCATCCTACCTTCGCCTGCAAGCAAGCTTCCCTATGGAAGATGGGAAGAAGTGGGGTTGACCCTGCCTCAAGGCCCGCTGAAAAACCTTGACAAGATCAGCCAAACTGAATACCTGGTCGAACCGACAGTTGGACGCCTCTTTATGCGGAGAAGTCTTTGCGGAGCAAAGTGTTTTGCAGGAGGCTGGCCCAGATCGTGCGTTCGGTCGTTGCTTCCCCCCAACCATCCGTCTGCGCACGTGCCTGTCTTGTGACAACGCCGTTGCTGAGTCTGCTTCTTGAAAAGCTGTCTACTGCCAAGGGTCTCTGTCTGCGTATATCTGGAGAGGCGTGAAGCGCCCCTGAAGGGAGGAATCCCGAGAGTGCGTGATCGTGAAGGACACGCGTGGAAAAGAGAGCGGCGAGTGCACAGCTTTTGATCTTGCTGCTCATAAGGGGGCTGCCAGTCTCTCTCCGAGAGGCACGTACACCATAGCAGTGGAGCAACTAGAGATCAGCTGCAATGTTGAAAGCAGATGACGCAGCAGTTCCGCTTCATTTGCTACAAGGATGCTGGCCAGCGCAGTTATGTCAGCAACCCATCATGACTCCACCAAGGTAAGTGCAGGGCAGGGGTTCGGCCCGTTGAGGTTTCGGATGGTTGGGTTTGGAGGTGCTGGATTGGAATTCTTTGTATGCCACAGGCGGGTGTTTCAGGGAATAAACAAACGCCGTGAAAAAGCAGGTAAAACAGGAAATCCCATCAATGGCGGAATGCTTGAAAAGGCGACGCGAGCAGGGCGTCAATAAACTGGAGATTTGAGGGGGCATGTAACACCATTCCGGCTCAAGCTTATGGATACAATCCTTTGTTTGTGCACTCTACTTCGGATTTTGCGCTGCCGTCCCTGAGCTTGCAAATGCCCGGTCCCGAACTTGAGTTCTTAAAGCCTCCAGGATTCTTTTTCAGGCTTGATGCTGGACCTCGTCCTTCCTTCGGAGCCGATCCTGGTGGGCTTGTCTGAGCAGGCACCCTCTCGCCTTTCACAAAGAGCGAACGAGCAGTGAAACGTGAGTTGAGTAGGCAGGCTCACAGAAATTCGGAGCTGGAGGCAGAGAGCACGTCAAGTAACTGCCGAGGCAACTTAGGGATATCAAAAGCATCCCACTGCTTCTGGCCCTCAGACTTTGAGTGGGTCGCAGATCTCTCGAAACTGCGCCAAACCAGGCATGTGCAAGCGGACCTGCCGGAGGAGGGCTGCCCTGTCCACCGTGTTGAAGGTGTTGCTACAGTCAACTTTCAAAACAACGTTGGAAACGTGGCCCGCAGTGCGGGTGAACCCACTGCTGGACCGTGTGCACGGCGATTTCACAACCCACAGAGACAGCAACAACCCCGACTCCGAGGGGCGCCAGGGCCCAGCGTGCCTCCGCCTTGTACACTTGGCAAGTTACGGTTGCCAACGGGGCAGTGGAAAGTTTCACAACAGCGATAGTTCGTCCGGGCTGCGTGAGCTCTTGTTCAACTGAAAGGTCGGGAACGTGGCCAAGCGGGACAAGGCCGAGTTGCTGGGCGCTGGAGTTGGCACGCAACTTGGCAAGCACCCCTGCCCCAGTAGCGGCGGGCTGAGCAGCGCGGCGCGCGCACAGGACAGCTCGTCTTCGGCTGCCGGAGATCTGCAACGAGCTTGCCAGGCAGCTTGCTCGGCCTCCGGGTCATCAGCGCAGCGGCGGCAGGGCGGCGCGACGAAAGACATTGCTCGGCGCGTGGTGTGGTGGGCCGCTTCATCGCGACGTCTAGGGCAGCATGAGCAAGTCACGAGATTCCAACATAGCACTCATACCACATGCTTTCGGAGCTCTCTCTCTCTCTTTGTCGCTGTCCCTCTTGTTCTGCTTGCGCACGCTCCCCACCAGCCCTCGCGAGATGGGTCGGGACACAATCATTCCCGCAAACCTGTCACCCAGCGCGCCCCAAATTTGCATTGGCCTCCGAGAAATGCTTCCTCCCTTCTGGCCAGCTGGTAAAAAATCATATTCGCTCACACGCTCTGTCGGTTCCATGGGCGACCTCTACCAAAACCAATGACGGTAGCGTAGGAGCTGCCTAGCAACGCACATCCATCAAAGGAAAGGAGACGAAGCGATTCCCAGGTAAACATCCGCGCAGCAATGCGTCTCGCTCGAGGGAGAGGAGCAAACGACACCAAAACGCAACGCTGCGCAGGCAGCACCATCTACAACTTATACACGGGCCACTACGACAGTACGGCACGTAAGCACCTTTGCCTGCAGGACCTTGGCAGCGCACGGTCAGACTAGTCCGTTATGTCTGCGCTTAAGACAGGTGGGCGCTATACCTACAAACAACAAAACAGGCAGCTGCAAGCGGACCCTTCTTTTTGCTGTAGCGGCTTAAGTCGAATAACAGGAAAGGATCAAGGGCAGGTCAGCAGCTGTCAGAGTCGCGGGGCAGGTAGCCCGAGAGGCAGGACCAGCAGAGGCGTCCATTGTTGGGCCCGGAGCAAGCTATTCAGGACCTGCTAGTCTTTGAGGGGGCCGGAGTAGTGTGAAATCACGCGGGGCCCGAAAAAATAGCAAAAGTTTATTCCCGAATCTAATTCAGCTTTCCCCAAAGCTTGCGTCAACGCCACTTGTACAAATTCTGAGGGCCCTTTGTAATTTTTCTTACGTGGCAAGTTTAGGGGTGATTGAATACTCAAGAAAATGGTCATGTGTTTGAGGGGGGGCCTACACGAGGGCTTCGCGTTACAGGCAGAGAATGGCTGCGTCCCGGAGCCAACGCCCAAAGCCCAAGCTCAAAACTTGCAGTGGTCGACCCGCAGGCAGGACGCAGCCAGAGTGACCACTCATAGACTTGGTGGCTTCTAAAGCACTATGGCAGAAGGGGCCCCTTGGGAGGAAAAGGTTCGCAGCAGATGCTTTCAGGTGCACAAGTTGGGTAGCCCGTGGAACGCTTAACACTCAAACAAAAACTGGGACATGGACATGGCTGAGGTATAGCAGGGGGCACGGCTAAGCATAGTACGTATTAAGCATTCCACGGGACACCCAAGTACGGGCATGGTTCAAGCAAAAGCCTGAACATGGCTCAGCAAAAGTTTGGCATGGTTCAATCAAAAGCCTGAACATGGCTCAGCAAAAGTCATCAAAAATGAGTGCACGGCTCGAGCCTGCGTGACCAATTTGCAGTGCACGGCTGGAGGTTGGATGAACTATTTGGAGCGCAGAGTCCTCGAGAGGCCCAGACCGTGCACCAGTTTTGCAGTTCGCGGGAGTTCTCGAAAGTCCTCGAGAATTGTCGAGAATCCTCGAGAGTCCTCGAGAGTCCTCGAGAG